CCTGGGGGCCAGCTGGGAAATGTGGAAGAAGACGTTAGGGAGGGGCTAACAGACCTGAAGGAGGAGGGTGTCTAACTCCAGGGATGGAGTTAATCCTATAAAAAGGCAGGGTCAGGGCCTTTGGAACCCAAACGCCAGTACTAGGACCTGAACAGGTTAAGGGGGGCGGAGCCAAAGCTGGGGTGTAGAGGGGGGGCTGGAATAGAACGTGGGTTTCTTCAGTGTTCTGGGGGTGGAGCTAAGAGTCCTGAGGGTGGGTCTAGCTTCAATAAAACAAAACCGGGGTAGAATTAGACTTCATGGGCGGAGCTAGGGGGGTTCCTAGGTGGGTTCGAGATTCTAGAGTCTGGGCCTGGCCTCGCAAGGAGGATTTGTTGCAAATCCAAATATATGGTTGGTCAAGAGGTTTGGAGCATATGGGAGCATCGTCTATCCTCAGCCTCCTCCAGGAACCCGGGGTTAAGCTTCAGGCTAAAAAGCAGAAAAGGCCCTGCCCCTTCTAAGCCTTCTGCGAGCCCATTGGCAGAAGAGCCTGCGCGACAGGCTTTCATTGGTCCCTAGCAGAAGAGGTGGGGGTCTAGAGAGAGAGAAAGAGAGGGAGCGAGAAAAAAGACACGCCGCTTGTGGGCGGGGCCAGACGGTACCGAGGGGCACATCGCCACAGCCAATCCTGACCAGAGGATGGTGTAGGGGGGGCCTGGCCTGGAGTGCCCCGAGCTCCTCTTCTGGGCATCCTAGGGGATGACTCGGGTGCCAGGTCCAGCGCCCGCCGTCTGACGCCGGGCGGGCCGAGCTGGGGATGCTGGAACAGAGGGCGTTGCTATGGCAACGGGAGGCAGGGCCTGGGGGGGGGACCGGGCCCGGGCTGGGGCCGGCGGGACCGGAGGCGCCGGCGTCGGGGCGATGGCGGAGCGCGGCCCGGCCTTCTGCGGTCTCTACGACACGTCCTCTCTGCTGCAGTACTGTAATGGTGAGACACCCCCCCACCTCACCCCACCCTTCAGCTCCGAGCCCAGCCCCACCCAGGGAGGCTTCATCTGCCCTATACCCCACCCTCCTGCATCCAAGTCCCTATTCCTGTCCCTGGATGAAGATTCCTCACCTCCCTTCGCCATAGACCTTGACCCCAGAGCAAGCCCACCCTACCCCAAAGCCCAGATGACAGCCTCCCACCCCCTTGGATCCTCCCCTGGGGAGAGTCCACAGCAGAAGCTGGGGCACTGGAGGAGGGGGAGGCCTGGGAGTCAAGCGGGTCTGGAGGCCTGCCTTCCAGCCTCAGGGACCCTCCTCCCTCTCCTTGGCAGAGGGGCAAATAGATCAGGGCAGGAGGGAGTGGTGATGATGGTGACAGTGGTACTGGACTGTGGGCAGGGTGTGGAATCTAGTAGGGCAGCCGCTATGACCCACCAAATCCCCAGAGCCTGTCCTTCCACCCATTAGAACCTATCTCTCACCCTAGACCACTGACTCTGATCTTAGAAGGGCTATTGAGGAGGTCAGGCCCAGATAAGGAGAGCTGGGGCAGAGGAGGGGGCAGTGGGAGGTGAGGAATTGGAATTATAGCAAAGGGGTTGCAGAGGGGTGGGGGAAGTGGTCAGGAGGGCTTGGATCATGATGGGGAGGGGCATGTGGTTGATGCAGCCAGCTTCTGTGAGGTGGAGGCTGCAGGGTCAAGGTGAGACTTCCCTCAGGGAGGACTGGGAAAGGACATATTTCTTTGGAGGGGGGGCTTGCTTCCCTTGAGGACACGCCCAGGTGCCAGAGGACCCAGAAGGTGCCGAAGACATCCTAGAGGCCCCCATAGCTTCAATCATTAGAATGGCTGGGCGTCTTTACAGAAGTAACTCCACCAATCTGGACCTCAGTCCCCTCTTTCTCCTCCACTCCAGCCCTAAAATGGGTATAATAAGAGTAGCCCTGGTGCAACAACAGCTAAGTACTCAACCACTAACCAAAAGATCAGTTGTTTGAGCCTACCCGGGGGACCTGCAGAAGAAAGAACTGGCAATCAGTTCCCCTAGAGATTTAAAAGAAAACAAAACACACTGCCTTGATAGCATAGTGGAGGAGCC